CGTGGAGCACTTGAATGTCATAAAGGTGCAATTTTCCTCGACCCTTTTGACATATCATTTTATCATTTTATGCAGTTAAAATGTGGAAGGATTTAATAGTAACTTTACAAATTTGGGAGAACTTTTTTCATACTTTTTGTGTAGAAAGGCTCTTCAAGATTAAAAAAAAATTTTACCTGTGATCTTAATCAAATAGAAAGAATGAAAACTGTACACAAATTCAAGTTCTTTTGTAACAGTTTGGTTTTTAAGACCTTTTTCTCTGAGCACAATCCAAAACACATTGATTCACATAAATATAACTTGGATCATACACTTGACCTTCACGTTTCATTCAACCCCTAAAAATAAAATTATTACACACTCAAAGCACATTTGACATCTATGTGTGGCCTCAGAAGAAAGTATCATTTGTTGTATGACAAAAGAAAACTTAAATTAGAATTATCAATGGCTGCATGTGTACAGGTCAGAATTATTTTGAAATTTATTGTACCTGGAGGCACCCTTACTACACCAGAACATTTGGTTGCTAGGAGTTAGAATAAATTCTCAGATCAATGTCTTTCTAATTCATGATAATAACCAGTATGTGTATATATAACTGTTTAGGATAAACACTAATATATATAAATTGGATTGTAATCTCATTACTGAAATTAGCAGACAATGTTGTAAAAAAAACTGTCAAGTTTAGGAAGCTGATAGAAGATATGAATTCCTGTTCTTGTCAGTATTTTAAACATCTCTACTACACTTGCTTACAAATTTTTCTCAAGTCAGACCCATCCCCTCTTTTTTCTTTCTTTTTTGTCTGTTATTGTGTTTCCACCTGTGTATAAATTATTCACATTTCTTCACATCAAAGCCATTCAGTTATCTCTAGCGCCTAACATCTGATAAAAAAAAATGGCCGACAGTGAACCTTACAAGTTCTGTAAAGGGAGGAAATGCACATTCTTTAAATGAAAAGCTTCCAAATCTTTAAAATCTTTGTTGCTAAATGCATGGCCTACCCTTTAAAACATCATACAGATAAATTGCACTTCAGATTTGTCAACTTTTTTTTTTTTCAAAGAAATGTGATATAACTTCCAATGTACAGTGATACCTCAAGCAACTGTAAGGTTTTATTTTCATAAACATCACCACTTTAATACATTCTGAGTTTTTATAATGGCGCCAAATTCTGCAAATTCTAAACTTTGCTTTGAAAAAGATTTTACCTTTTTTTTCTCCTAACGTAATGATTACCAACTAAGGGGAAACAGGTTTTATTATATTTTTTACTGCTGTTTGAAATAGAAGAAAGCCGCATTCGGGCTTTCAGGCCTACAGTGCTTTCCAGTTAGTTCAGGAATTCAATCCCTCCTGATCATAGTTAACATAGTGTAAATATGTGAAGGAAATTCTAAAAGTCTCCTAAAAGATGAAGAAAAGCATCTAAATGTGCCCCTATAATGGACCAATACACAAAAGGAAAAATGTTTTTGAAGTTCTGATGCTCTGTTCACTGTACCAGCAGGATCAACATGTTGAACCTTCAAAACATTATGCGGTGATAGAAAACGCTATACTGATAGCGTTTGCCACTCGCACAAACCTTGAAAGATGGATACTTGAGGACATTTCTGTCACAGTACACATCTCATTTTCTAGTCCAGTAGATGAAAAGGGGTGCCCCCCCCCCTCCCCCATGCCCAATCTGCTAAAGAATTTTCTAAAGAAAGTACATTAAATTTTTCTTTTATTTTGTGTTGGAGGTGGGGGGTATTGACTTCAAAAAATTGTGTAATTTTCTTCCTTTTTGGACAGAGATCCATGGCAGCTAAATAATTAACNTGCGGAAGATCGTCAATGGGAGAACATTATTTTAACTCCCTGTAAATTTTTAGGAAGTTACAGATGGTAATTTTAGAAGGCCTGACACTCACTCCTGGGAAAAGCCCTGCATGCAACAAACGTTCCCAATTGCGTAATTTTTTTAATATGTCGCGTCCAGGTTATGATGTAAGGTTGCAATTAGGCTTATCTTGATCCTTCTCCTCTATCAGGAGGTATGTTTCTTACCGAGAAGATTCTCAACATGTTTTCGGGTACAGTAAGTTAAGTATAACTTAATCAAGATGCACTAATAAACAGATTATTATTTACCACTAGAAAATGACTTACGAAGTAGTAATAAATATCCCACCATATAGGAGGGTCAAAGATAACAGTCGCTCAGGATAAAAGCCCAAAGGCCGGATTTTTGAAAATTTCGTCATGCCCAGGAGTCAGGGAGAGGTAATTTTGAAAAATTAGTCGGATTTACACAATTAAAAATATTAATTAATTTTTAAGCGACGAAATTTTCAAGACTTTACCGTACTATTTGATCATTTTACATGTAAGGGGTTACTCATTTTAATTATGACAAAGCAATTTCTAAGTAACTGCACCAGAAGCACTGCTTTGTTCAAAAAAGCTAAAGCTGTTGATTTAGAAGTTCTGAAAAGTTTGATGGTTCTACACCTGAATGTATTTTATTGGGAGTTACTTAAAATAATTAATCCTGAAAAAGATATAATTATATAAGAATAAATGAGGAGCTTCATTAAGTAATTACCATAATTTCATCTCAAGGGAATTATATTAAGAATGTGAATATTATATAATATAATATTATTGTGCACAATATGTTACCTGCAGAAGTCAAAGGTGTGTGTGCATACATATATATATATATATATATATATATATATATAGTAGTCATCAATTTAATGGGAATAATCCCAGATAGTCCATAGTCTCACAATTTAGTGTAAAAAGAGTGAGGTTCTGTGGGATTTGGAGAGTGGGACCAGAAATAATGACAGTCTACCCAGTGCGATGTGGCAATGAAGTTATAAAGTTACAGCTTAGTTTATACAATATCAAAAACTATATATATATATATATATATATATATATATATATATATATATATATATATATATATATATATGTGAGACATTACCCTATGAAGATGATGGACTATATGATAATATTATTATTGATCATTTTAACTTTGTATACATGTCTGAACTTCTGAATCTGTTTTGAATCAGTATCCTAGAAATAAAAGTGTGCATTAATTCTTGAACATCGGAATTATTCAGAGTCGTTTTGTTTTTGACAGAAAATGGATATTTAGCATGAAACATTAATGTTAGTTTTTTCCTGCTTTATTTTTAAGAATTTAATAAAAGGTCTTCAGGCAAATATAACTATTTGTATCCAATTTAAAAATAAAATACTATAATTGTAAAATTTTTAATATCCTGTAATACAATAATATTTTTGACAAACAATAGACCCAACCTGGAGATAGGCTCCCATATTTACAAAGAAAATTTTTCTTCATGTCATTGTTAACTTTTTCGGGAAATGTTCAAGTTCCTGTGCCTGCCCCACCTTGCTGATACTTTAGCCAACAGGTCTGCACTGACCGATGAAAAAAAAAAAACATGTCTGCACCGACTGATGAAAAAAATACAGTACTGAGATGAATAGTATGCCATAAGATCCATTTCTAAAGACTGATGATTGATAAAGTGGATCTAAAGTGACAAATGATGTACCTGGATTAACTAAAATCATTATGATGATGAAATGATAAATGTATATAACGAGATATGTTACCTTATCTTGAAGCTCTTACTTAAAAACACAGTGACAGGATAAAAATGATAAATTTCAAGTGAAAGAAATTAAGACAAAATTTCATGCTTTAAAAACTTGTGGACTACTGCAGACCAAACAAACACTTACTGTGCATATAAAACTCAGTCAATTATATGCATATGCTGCTAGCTGGACTATTCTAATTCTTTCATTTATTAAAACAGCTTCCATAAAAAAATTTTTTTTTAAATTTAAAAAAAAGCAGATACAAAAATGTTTCAAACACATAAGTAAATAAGCATTAATATAAGAATAAAAGGGGGTGGAGACATCTTTACACTGTATTTTAGAAACACACTGAATACAACAAGGCAGACTTTACTCAACTCCTATGATATATACTTTTGTCCTCCTTAGAATACCTTGAATATTTTCATTCTCTTTTCAATACATAAGGCAAGTTTTATGATCAAACACTCCAACCCCTATAAGCACAAAAACATTAATGTATACAGTAAAGATGTTCAATGAAGTATGCTTATTTGTTAATAAACATTCCACACCCATCCAAGGTGCCAACATTACAGGATACATATAATGGGTGAAAATTCACAGTTAATCTTGTTATATTAACAACAGATTAATGTCTTTAAAAGAAAGTATCAGAGAGCAAAGAAACTAAAGATTAGGATTTAAGCCCCCTAAAATAATGATAAACAAATAAATACATAACAAAAAAAAAAAAAAATGAAATAAAATAAATAAATAAGAAAATAATTTTCTACCCTGTAGGCTATTTGAACTTAGTCATGTAACATACCCATTCATACCTCTACCTGGCAACACGACCCCCTGACAGGTCTCAACTGACTGATAAATTATACACTGAGTCTACAGTGACTGAAATTAGACTGCATCTCTAGAACTGAGTCAATGCATTGCCTGTCTTGCCATATAAATTGGATGAGTTTTATTTCACAAAGCATTTTTAAACTGTGTTTTTTGTTCAATGAAGTTGGAGCTTAGATTTTTTTGTCTAAAAATCTTTACTAGTACATATTATCTATTAAAATTACTACAATTTGTAAACTGTAAATGGACCTTTGTATATCAATTCATATATTTTTTTAAAATTGTGGGAGTAGAAAATAATCTCACTGCAACTTTTATAAAACTGTTTACATTTTGACAACATTAAAGTTCATAAAGAGATCTGCATATCAAAACTACTCAATCAATGCACAAGAGTAAAAAAGAAATCAGTTCACTGAGACCTGTCCCCCACCCCTTAAAGATCCACATATAAAAGAAATGCCACAGTATTAAAAGGGCCTTCCTGTGGCAGCAAGAGACAAAGTAAACCACTGACCAATCCTTATCCAACTGTCACTAATAATTCACCAAGGAACAACAAAAATATCATCATGAAGACTGTCGTCTGCTTCTGTGTCACGTTAGTTGTGATGTGCATTGCGATCGCCAACCAAAGAGCCGAGGCTTATCACTGGTTTGGGAGATCTCAAGCAGGTAGGTGTTTGAAGACGATTAAAAAATAACGATCAGTGATTATAAAATGGGTCTTTATTGCACTATGTTAACAGAAACACCCCAACAATATAAATCAGGAGATTCCTTCGATGCCGCAGAGGTACTGTTTTGATAAACCCTTGACACACCTTCTTCCAATATTTACCATAAACTCAACAACAGATTATAGAATTTTTTTAAGAGTTGCCGAAGGTCATCTCCTGAGGAATGCCAAGGTCTGGCGGTAAAATATTACATATCTGTAATGGCAGAGGCTGGGGTCTTCTCCCTGCAACAAACTTAGCTACTAGTATTTATGTAAAATGAATATTATGAGTGTTTCTGTTAGAGTAACTGTCATATTTCAAATGTATGCAGCATGTATGCATATATTTTGCAAGTTATGCTTTGCCCTTGCTGATGACTTGGCACAAAATTGAAGACCACATACAAAAAAAAAAAGAAAAAAAAAAAAAAAAAAAAAAAAAAAAAAAAAAAAAAAAAAAAAAAAAAAAAAAAAAAATAAATAAAATAAAACAAAATAAAATAAAAATAATTAAAAATATGTATATATTGCACAATGGGATAGCATTCGTAAAAAATCTTTCTTTTTTTTTTGTTAAAAAGCTTTTATCTCTCAACTAAACACCAATTTCCAAATCATATAATTACATTTAATAAGGATCTGATATCAAAATTTTATTTGTAAGATTTTCAATAGTCTAGTATCCAAACCATAATCAACATGATCAATCCCTTAAAACAGTAAAAATATCAAAGTTTAGTTAACTGAAATTGAACATCAGTCACCTTCATAATCATAATCTCTTCAAAACAGGAGTATTCTAGTACCTTTATCTGAAGTGCTACCTCCTTAATTCAAGAAATCACACAACCACATGTAACCTGTCACCAGCGACAGTTATGCACAGAAGTATAAGTTTTCGACCAATTTTTTCAAGAAGATAAGAAAAATGTTGACAAAATTGTGGTGAGGCAAGCTGGAAATTTGAAGTTAGTTCCAAATTTGTTTTGTAACAACCAGAGTATAAAAAGAACCATGAGAACAAAAGATTGTTAATAAAATTTCAAACCAACCATGCAGAGTACAGTAAATGGGAATTCCCAGAAAGCTTCAGACTTATAACTAAAAAATTTAATTTTTGATTCTTTTGCCCTATTTCTAGTCTAATCAATTAACTAAATTTCAATGCAATCATCGTGCTTGCATTTTTAAACAATCTTTATTTGACGTAATTATACACTGTAAGAAAGCTGTTTGTAAGAAATGATTGACTCAATAGAAAAAAAAAAAAGATAATGAACTCTGATTGTACTAGTACACTCATGCTTAGCATACACATAGTTACATGTAGGTTTGCACAAAATAAACAGATATATCACACGAAGAAAATCAAAGACATGATATAATTTGCATCGTGTTGATTTGAGACAAAACATGCACCATATTCTGTAAAGTAAACTCAAAATACAATTAAATTCATTCCTTTTATGAAAATATTATTCTTACATAATATTGTGTTCTAAAGGCACAAGAAATGTTATCAGAATTCATACTCGGGGATTTAAACCCAACCACACCACCCTATAATATCAATAAATCTGAAATCTAAAGTACTTCATTATAGAGAGAACAGACCTTTTCAGGGTCACACACCCTTCATAACAATTCACTGCAAAAGGATTAGTTAAAGTGGCATTTGTTCGACGTTTCTTTTCAGTCCATGGTATTTCACAGGTGTGATATTATTATTATAGTTATATTTATATAGTTCAGGGGGAACGGGGACAAAGGTTGGTAAGGTGCCTCTTTAAAGGTGATGAAGGTCCTCAAATGTTAATTGCGTGGAGATGTGTATTATACTTAGTATTAGTACCATTTACTGGATTAAGATACAGGCCCAGCTGTAGCCAGTTATTTCAAAATGAGGCTCTCTCTCTCCCCAGAAGACAAACGACATTGATTCAACGTTGAATCAACGTTAATTTTGGTGGATCAACGTTCAATCAACGTAGAATCAATGTCGTTTGCCTGCTGGGTCTCTCTCTTTTTTTTAATTAAACCTTTTAATACTCTTAGTCCATTCAACATGAAAATTCTGCATAGAACCTAGAACGAAATTGGATTCAGATTTTACTTTTTTCTTGTGAAATAAGAGATTTGTTCGACTCAGCCAAATTACCCCCCCCCCCTTTTCCTACCCACGAGATGTATATATTATATATACTAGTATAGATGATCATTAAAGAACTAATGTACATTTTTGCTCATTTTAGTATAGATGATATTTGTGAGCATCTATACTGGTATTTTGATGAAGTCAAAACTTTTAAATCTTATGAAAGAGCTCTCGATGAAAGTGGTTCAATATACCCAACCTGTGGCTTGAAACTTTCTACAACAATATCTGGTTTGCCCAGCATTCATGGAAAATGATTTTAAGTGATCAAGCAAATGCATATGATTCAGAAGTTGATTTAATGTTGGTTTCAATGTGTGTGTGTGTGTGTGTGTGTGTGTGTGAGAGAGAGAGAGAGAGAAAGAGAGAGAGAGAGAGAGAAAGAGAAATCAATCTATACCAAATTCCATATCCTTCCCCTACACAACACATATATCCAACTACAGTACAATGCACAAAACTATTTCAACAAAAAGCATTTCATTCAATGTAAAAAGAAGTAAAGTTAGCAGCGTAAGATTACCAGATCACTTCCAAAGAAAACAATCAACAAAGCATACATCGGAACACCAAAACCAGGCCACGTTTAGTTACGGTTGAATTCCCAGCTCACGGTGGTGACGTGGTGACGTGTACAAACAGAGCTCTCCCTTCCCTCAAAAATAATACTTTGTTCTCTTCTTGAAAAAGGATTCGTGACTATAAGAAAGCTCCAGGCAATTATCACTACAAAAATGTAAATTCAAGACACATGGGAAAATTAAACATAATGTACATGTAGAATGATTAAGGCTTTATCATTTCAGTTTAATTTTTAGAATTATATGCAACAGTTGAGCATTTTCTGTCAAACTTTTCTCAGTGTGTATTTCAATTAAGAGATGAAATGAATGAAGCTGCTTGACCTTTTCACAAGAAAAAAGGGCCAGAATTTTCTCTTTTTCTCTATATTAAAAAAAAAACAATCAGTTTGAATTTTCAATTATTTTTCTATCAGAAATATTCAGATTTATCCACTTTTTCATGCACACACAAACTGTCATATCGTAGACAGTACTATTAAGTATCTGACTTTACAGAACCATTATGACACACACACATATCATATCACCACATATTACACTGTTTTGTGAACTAAAAACATATTCAAACACTTAAAACACACACACACACACACACACACACACACACACACACATATTCAGACATTTTAAAAAAATGCTGACTCAGTCACAGGTTTGGTTTCCCACTTCTGTAAAAACATTGGTTGTATCCAACACAAAACTGTACACACATACACACAGGTGTGGCCATGCAAAGAAAACGACTTGCTCTTGGACATGAATACATGGTCAACTTAGACAAAAGGAGACATTCTTCTCTATTTTACGTGGAGCACTTGAATGTCATAAAGGTGCAATTATCCTCAACCCTTTCGACCCATTGTTATTCATGTAGAACTTTATATAATTTTATGCAGTTAAAATGTGGAAGAATTTAATAGTAACTTTAAAATTGAACAAATTAAAGGAACTTCCTTCATAATTTTTGTCTAACAAGGTTCTTCAAGAAAATTTTAAAAAATCTTTTCAACTGTAGTCTCAATGGGAACAATAAAAATTGAACATACGTATATTCAAGTTTTTTTTTTTTTTTTAAATATTAGTTTGGTTTTTAAGACCTTTTTCTCTGAGCACAATCCAAAACATTTTCCACACTCACAGCACAACTGACAACTATGTGTGGCATCAGAAGAAAGTATCATTTGTTGTATGACAAAAGAAAACTTAATTTAGAATCATCAATGACTGCATGTTACAGGCCTGAACTATTTTGAAATTTATTATACCTGGAGGCACCCTTACTACACCAACATATTTGGTTGCTAGGGGTTAGAATAAATTCTCAGATCAATGTCTTTCTAATTCATGATAATAACCAGTATGTGTATATAACTGTTTAGGATAAACCCTAATATATATAAATTGGATTGTAATCTTATTACTGAAATTAGCAGACAATGTTGTAAAAAAAAAACTGTCAAGTTTGGGAAGCTGATAGAAGATATGAATTCCTGTTCTTGTCAGTATTTTAAACATCTCTACTACACTTGCTTACAAATCTTTCTCAAGTCAGACACATTCCCTCTTTTTTCTTTCTTTTTTGTCTGTTATTGTGTTCCTACCTGTGTATAAATTATTCACATTTCTTCACATCAAAGCCATTCAGTTATCTATAGTGCCTAACATCTGATAAAAAATGGCCGACAGTGAACCTTACAATTTCTGTAAAGGGAGGAAATGCACATTCTTTAAATGAAAAGCTTCCAAATCTTTAAAATCTTTGTTGGTAAATGCATGGCCTACCCTTTAAAACATCATACAGATAAATTGCACTTCAGATTTGTCAACTTTTTTTTTCAAAGAAATGTGATATAACTTCCTATGGTGATACCTCAAGCAACTGTAAGGTTTTATTTTCATAAACATCACCACTTTAATACATTCTGAGTTTTTATAATGGCGCCAAATTCTGCAAATTCTAAACTTTGCTTTGAAAAAGATTTTACCTTTTTTTTCTCCTAAAGTAATGATTACCAACTAAGGGGAAACGGGTTTTATTATATTTTTTACTGCTGTTTGAAATAGAAGAAAGCCGCATTCGGGCTTTCAGGCCTACAGTGCTTTCCAGTTAGTTCAGGAATTCAATCCCTTCTGATCACAGTTAACATAGTGTAAATATGTGAAGGAAATTCTAAAAGTCTCCTAAAAGATGAAGAAAAACATCGAAATGTGCCCC